GGGGTCGAGAGTGATTGCTACTGGTGTGTGAGCCTTTTCGTAATCAGAATTTGACCTTCGCCTTGGCCATCAGGGACGATGGCCCTGGAGAGGGGATGGTTGTCATGACAGATACTGTGTGGCGCCGGCACCGTCCCATGGGTCCGCGGGTATAGGTCCCAGTTCGTGATCGTCCGATAACGATTGCAAGCATGCATCTTTGCCCATTGGTACAGTGGTAGTCCATGCTCTAACAGATTAAATATATATAATACCTCTTACTCTTAATGCACTGCCGTTGTTATCAAGGGGCTATGATAAAATGAGGTAAATAAGTCCCTTACTACATCGTTAATAAGCCAGATAATTCCACGGATAAAGCCTCGAAGATAAAAAAAAAAAANAAAAAAGTCTAACAAGAAGCTTTTAGACCCTGGTGTATTATTTTCATTCTACCATAAGGGTGGGTGCTTGACATAGTCCTTAATTGATGGCAACAAGGAGGTTATATTATGCAAGGTTGAACCATTGCAGTCCCATGAAACAGGAATACATAAAAATGCCTATGCGCGGTGGTGATCATTGGGAACTCCGTAAAGTTCTAGGTCCAGTCGAGACCGAATATCCCGCTAGTCTTCGTCACCGTTGGACTGGATAAGCACCTTGCGAATATCTCTGAAAAGATTGCTCAGACAGGTTCGCCAAGGCATGTAGCCCTTGTCACCGTATTTGAGACCGCCCACTGCGACAAGTTGCGTCAGCAATCGCATTGCCAGGTAAGGACATGAACGTGAAATATCTCTTTCGAGCACCATGTCCATACATGATGTTTTATAGCACAATATCAGAAAACAGGTGCTTTGAGGCTGATCAAAACAAATGCAAAACAAAAATTGCTTACTGATTCTGGCCTGATGCTGCCGCATGGTTTGATAATCCTGCGAGAAAGCAAGAATTTAGCCAGGCATGCGGATAGCAGGCAGGAATCATCATCTCCTCCCATTGACTATGCACTTACTGCGCCTGGATTGAGCGGTTGGAAATCACGCGCGGCTGCTTTGCGACAAGAATCCATGTACTTCTCGTATCCATGGAGGATCTTCTCATATTATTAGCAGGTAAGACCCATAGATGTTTAGAGATACTCACAGTATCTCGAGAGCCACTAGGGCCCCGTCCATCTGCGAGCTTGTAGACCAGGAGACTGTGCTGGAGACAATGTTCCATCAAAACACCCTCGTATACTCTTGACAGCTTGTGGACCTCGTTCGCAATATCCCTGCAGGCTACGGGTGGAATAAGACGTTGGTGGGAGTCAAAAATTTCCTTTCTTGCCCAACCAATGATGTTCATCAAGATAGTGGTCTCCCTTTCGAGGCCACGTGGGGGCTGAGGAGATATTAGCGATAGTATAGAGAAGTACGACGGCAGACGTTCACCTACCAACTCGCAGCGTGATCCAGTTCGCAGGCAGGCTTTGCAGATTGTGGGAAAGTAGTCGTCACCGAAGCAACACTTGGGCCACAGCGGCCGAGCAGAACTGGGGGTATAGTCGGCGTTCATGACAAGAATACAGCGAATACAAACATGCCAGAAGCTGAAATCTTCCGGGAGAGTGCCATCATCATCGTCATCATCGTCATTTTCGTCATTTTCTTCCGTAACGCTATCGTCAATCCCGGTCCGGACAGAATCGTTAGTTTGCATGGGAACAGGACTGCTATTTTCCGTGTGAGAAGGAATGCCGTTCGTCGTTCGATCAGGAATGGCACCACTCATCAAGTCAGGACTGCCAGAATCTCTTGAAAGGAGAGTGAAATCTTCTCCCGAGTCAGGATCGGGATCTCGGGTCGCCACTCTGATTGGGTCTCGGGGCAGGAGAGTCATGCCTCGAGGAGGATACGGGTTTGGTCGTGCTTGGCTTCGGGGCTGCACAGGAAGATTATGTGATGCCATACTGAGACTGCCTCTCTGCAGAGATGATGGTGTGGGATTAATCATTGGAACAAAGCAATAGGAATCTGTGGGCTGATCAATGCAATAATAATTGGGATTGAGACAATCTTTTGCAGCTCTCTCCAGTTGACAGTGCTGAAGATAAGGATGGCTGGCACTTTGGAATGACGTTTCAATGTTGTTGTTTATCTTTCCCCAAGAAACGGCATCTACAATAGCATTGGCAACCGAACTAACGGCATGAAGAAGAAGGAGCGATTATATGCAGCAGTAGCTGAGACCGTCAGAACATGAAGTGAAGGGAGGAGCTGCCCGAAAAGCTACGGCGTGCGGATTCATATTTATAAACATGCTGTTTAGACCTGCTGTATGTTCCCACTGCTCGATGTTTTGCTATACTAAATTCTTGCTACAATTTCTCAGTGCTCGCAATAAATTATTCTTCAACATTTGAAAGAAGAAACACGTGCAAGCAACCGAATTCTGGTGTGTTAATTCGTGATCGAAACCAATCGAGGGCGAGGTCCGTCGTGTCACCAACGCCTGGAAAGTGTGTCTGGCATTCAATTATTGAGCTTGCTCATGCACCTATGGACAGAGCCGAAACTGCAATGCGCAGGTACATATATGTCCTGCCACATACTAGGTAGGTAGGTACAGGCCTAGAGACTTTCTTCAGGCTTTGGCTTTTAGTGGTTTAGTGGGGGGTTCTCCTGCGGCTGGTTCATTGTCCAGCTTCGATTGCCAACGCGGGGTCTCGATTATCCACCACGTTGCATTACCCAAACCGCCGATTCCGATTCTTCCCATTGATTTCAGCCGCTTGTGTGGCCGCATAATCTTGAGCATCCCAGCATCCAGTGAGCCAGCCATATATTTGTTACTTTCGCCATAAGTCGCCAATGCTTTTGTTCGGTTCAAAATGGATCCTGTCACGGCTGCCGGTCTGGCCATAGGTGTCGCGGGCGTTGGTTTTCAGGTCTACACTGGCTGCGTGCAAGGTGAATGAATACTCCATCATCTCCAGTTGCGCTCGTGCATACGCGTTTCTACTGACATCTGCTATAGCTATACAATTGCTGATAACGGCAAAGAACTTCCCAGATGAGTTCAAATACCTCAATCTCCGCCTGCGCATGGAGCAGCAACGATTGTTCGCCTGGAGTGAAACATCGGGCCTCGCCGACGTAGATAGCAAGAACCAGCAGAAGATATTGAAAACCAACACCTTTTTTCTCCATCGCACCACCGTCTTGGATCTGCTCGTCCAAGTGCAGTGTCTTTTCAAGGAATTTCAAGACGAACAAAAGCGGTACCAGAGAATTTTGGTGATTCCTGATTCCGCCGAGTCGCTCGAGACGCCAGAAAAAGATGCATCTGACGCCAACTTTCCTCTGCCGCAGCGACGGCGGGACTTTATCCAAAAGGCCATGTCCAAGCTCAAGAACCTGTCAACAGAAGGTGCGCTGCGTCTGAGATGGGCATCTTTTGACCGGGACGGCTTTGAAAGGCTGCTTTCTAAATTCGCAGTGCTCAACGATAACATGACTGATATACTTGATGCTCGCCTTCAGGTTGAGATTCACCACACTGTTCAAGATACAAACAGGGGTATGCTGCAACTGCACCACAAGATTGCTGATCTATCACGCTTGGTCATGGCCTTGAACCTAAAGTTGGAACCGCCCGCACAGCAGGCACAGTCACCCAAGTCAGATTCGCAGAGAGAAGTGAGAGCAAAAGAAGCATCGGGCCTGCTGCTCCTATCTCAATTGGCCAAATTCAAGGCCTTCAATGAATCAATCGAGTCTGGAAGAAATAATGCACTGGATGAAAAGACAACATCGCAGCTTGAGCTTGGTCGTCCACAGGAGCAAGAAAAATTGAAGCTGGATTCCGCAATGATCGAGCTCAAACAACAAGGAGCTAGCGGGTCCCAGCGTTGCGAGGCAATATTCAAAGCACCAGATGGGAAAAGAAAGAATATATGGATCGAATGGAAGGAGTTTGATGGGCATATATCGAGCGACTCCGTGCCGGCCAAACAAGTCATTGTCGATCGCGTCAGAAAGCTGGCTGCCCTTTTGAACCATAGTCCCAAGCCCGAGGCATTTCGAACCCCTCATTGTCTTGGTTATTTCGACCAGGAAGAGAATGACGATGACAGCAGCGACGAGGAAGGATGCTCACGGCTCGGTCTAGTTTTCGAGCGGCCAGAAGATGCATCGATAGACAAGGAGTCGCCTGCCGTGAGCCTCAGAGAGCTTCTAGAGTGCGACTCCAAAGGTCACCCCAAACCGAGCTTGACGGCCAGGAGAGATCTTGCTCTTGCTGTGAGCAATTGTCTTTTGGTGAGTACCATCTTCAAATAGTGCTCTAATACGGGCTTGAATCATTGCCGGACTAATACGACTGCAGAGCCTCCATTTGGCCAACTGGCTACACAAATCTCTTCGATCGGATAATGTCATATTCTTTCGCGATATCAAAGGTCAAATTGATTATGCAAAACCTTACATTTCTGGCTTTGACTTTTCGCGCCCAGCCAGAAAGGATGAGCCCACGGAAATTGCTAGTCAAGACGATATAATGCACAACCTTTATCGCTACCCATCTATACAAAGCAGTCAATCAGCGCAGCGTCCACGTTTCAAGAAGAGCTTTGACATGTACAGCCTGGGTGTAGTCCTCCAAGAGATTGGCCACTGGGCTCCCGTTGAGGACATTGTAAAGATCAACATTGAAAGGGCATGGCGCCAGCCGTCCATCATTGAAGGTGTCCGAGACATCCTTCTGGCCGAGAAGACTCGAGAGGAACTGAGAGGCAATATGGGGTCCGTCTATGAGACGGCCATTCGACGATGCATTGCGGGTGGGGAATTCCTCAAGTTAAAGGACGGGGACGACGAGACAAATGACAAGGTGGCTACAACACTGTCCATGGCTTTTTATGAAAATGTTGTCAAAGAGCTGGAAAGGATAATCGTGTAGTTGTTGACAAAACAAGACCAGGAGCCAATTTTGGATTACGCGATATGCAGGTCCAAATGCAGTGTGGTATTAGATCAGTCCTGCTCGAACACAAGAGCAAAATATACATGCGTATTCGAGACGACTAGCCGCTGGCGCATCCTGCATGTGTGTTAAAAACAGGCTTGCATCATTTAAGATTAAAGTATCTGTCCGGCCATGCGGGATATGCACAATAGGATTTGATCTTTGTCCAGCATTTCGTTCATAAAATGGACAATAGCGCACAAGGCTTTGAATGCGTTTGTCGGATGGAAATGGAAAATGCATAGCAATGGCCGATGAGGCAACTTGGGACTGCTATGACATGATCATAGGCCTGTTGCTCAGTTGGGTATGTCAATATGCTGACCAATGATGGAGTGCAGTAGCGGGGTCGTTATCTCCGGGTCTATTTGCTACCCAGCGTTTCTTCAGTAATCGCTAGCCACATTCCAAGATTCTTTCAAACGTTTCATCTCGGATACTTTTCCTTTTCATTAGAATCAATAACTCATCCGAGGTTGATCAATTGATTGCTCTAGATAAGAAACCCTCAAGACGCAAAGACAAATGGCCCTCGAACGCGTCCTCGGCGGTTGGTGGTCGTCGGCCGCCAACCCGAGCCTCAAGGGCCACCAGCTGCTCATCGTATCGCCGACAGCGCCGGCGCCCGAGTGGGTGAGCAAGGTCAAGAAGGCGCACCGGGATCTCGACGTTCAGCACATCGACATCAACCCGTGGACCATCCACGCCGCGGCCGAGGCGCGCACTCGGGACATTGACTGGTCCAAGGCCACAGTCTTGCTCACGGGCCCGCTTGTCCCGACCATTGAGCAGGCGCCCCGGCTCGAGCTTGTCCAGCTTCAGAGCGCCGGCGCTAATTACCTCTTGGACAATCCGCTGTTCAAGGACACGGATGTGGCATTTTCAACGGCCAATGGTGTTCATGGGTGAGTGGTCTTTTTGTTTTGTGACTGTCTATTGATCAATGCGCTTGAAGAGATGCAAATCCCGGCGTGCAGTACTTTTCTTGCTGACATTCTCCGGTAGCCCACAGATTGCAGAGTGGGTGATTACCACCTATTTGATGCACCAACATGAACGTGAGTGACATTTGTCCGACCTGGACTGGTAGCGAGAGCCCAGGCTGACATTTTGCGCTAGTGGCGCTTTACTTGGACCAGCAGAAGGATGGCCATTGGAACAGGGTCACAACGGCACTTCAAGACGCCGTTGGTGCTCGAGTGTAAGTCGTGACTCTGTTGTGATAACAAAAAGTTACATGAGACTGACACAAGCCATTCAGTGGCATTCTCGGATACGGCAGTATTGGTAGGCAGGTGGCCCGAGTCGCCAAGGCCCTCGGCATGGATGTTATAGCCTATACCAACGGCCGGCGCGCGACCCCGGAATCGCGCAAGGACACTGGCTATATCGTACCAGGAACGGGCGACCCTGACGGCATTTTCCCGTCCAAGTGGCTGTCAGGCGCCGACAACCAGTTTGAGGAGTTCCTAAGCTCGGACCTGGACGTGCTCGTCGTCTCGGTACCGCTCACGGCCAGCACCAAGGGCCTAATCTCGGGACCCGAGTTCAAGCTCCTCGAGAAAAGAAAGACCTTCTTGTCCAACATTGCCCGCGGCCCCATTGTCGATACCAAGGCCCTCATTGGTGCGCTCGAGAAGGGACAAATCCGCGGTGCGGCTCTCGACGTGACGGACCCGGAGCCCCTGCCCGATGGACATCCGCTGTGGAAGGCGCCCAATGTCTTCATCACACCGCACGTTAGCGGTGTTTCCAATGACTATAATACCAGAGTCTATGACATACTTGCACTGAATCTGCAGAGGTTGGCAGAAGGCAAAAAGGAGTTTGTCAACAAGGTAAATAAGAAGGAAGGATACTAGATCTTGTAAATTATATTTGAGCAGAAGAATTACATTTTGTGATGGAAACTCGAAGACAGCATGCCCTTTCACATAAATGAAACATTCGGGGATCATAACAGCATTACGCAAAAGGACCAACCTTTAAGTCTTGGATTAATGTGCGAGAGCTACTCTTCCGTCTTCCATCCGTGCTCATTTTGTAGTTGTATCCCGATGGGATATTTGTTTATTAGCAATCTCAACGAACCTTTAGGTGCACGAATACTTTCTTCACTCCAGGTAAAACTGTACCATCTACTAGACACTTTGAAATTCAAGACTCTAGACTTTGAAGTAGGCTATTTGCTGGCGCAAAAAAGACCGTGCCGGTTACGGCTCTCGAAAAATCTAGAATACGATCGTGTAGGCCAGGCGGTTCTCCAACAAACATTCGTTCCAACATTTTCTCAATAACCCATAGATTCCGGGAGTATCCAATGAAATAGGTGCCATATTCACCAGAAGCTGGTGATCCAAATGGCATATTATCTCGGAAAATGTCGTGTTCATTTCCATCTGCGTCAACAATCGTCGCTAGTTCCTTGTGAGATTTCTGCTTCCCAGGTGGCGCATCATCGAGCTCGATATTATCAAGCTTGGTGCGGCCGACAATGGATTCCTGGTCCGTCGTTGATGCAGCACGCCATTTTCCCATGTCGTGCAAGTACTTTTGCACTACAACGTACGTCCCCCCGGCCGCCGCCTGATCATCCTGCTCGGCCACCGTAATGGTCTGGGGAATGGCCGGTCCTATCGGGTTCGCGGTGCCGTCAACAAAGCCGAGGAGGTCGCGCAAGTCGAAATAACGGAAACCGACAGTGGTATCGACCAGCGTGACGGCGCTGCCCAGATTGTCCATGAGCTGTCGCTCAAACTCGAAACACAAATCTCGACGGTCTGCGCGGATATGGAAGAGCAAGTCCCCCGGAGTCGACGGCGCCTGATGCTTGGTTCCCGAAATGGCCTTGAACGGGCGCAGTTCGGCCGGTCGACGAGCCCCGGTGATTTTGTCCCACGCGTCGGCGCCAATGCCCACGGTGCAGCCCAGGTGAGCGCTGGGATCACGTGAGGCCACGTTCTTTGCGAGATCGTCCAAGCTGCTCAGCGTGGACCTGACTTGCTGCGCGGCGCTGGCATCGTCGCCGACGGTCAAGACTAGAAACGTGGCCGACTTGGTCAACCCGACGTCTGTCGGTGAGGTGGCCATGGCGGCACGAGGACTGCTGACGCCCAAATACTGAGGCCTATTAATGTGGAAGTTTCTGATGCCCAGTTCTTGGGTAGGAGACTCTGCGCCGGATCGTTTGTGGAAACGGATAAGCCGGAAACACCTTGCTCGATATATAGGTCGTTGAACTTGCGTGGACAAAGGTCGCTGTCCAGTCCTGATGAGCCTTTGCATCTTGAAACAGGTGGTCGATGGCAAAAGCTTTCCTTTCCATGCCAATATTAATAGTTCTTCATGTTGCAGGTATTACATCTTCGGAGGGGAGGTAATATTTTCCCTCCAGCGTTACTACAACTATCCACACGACGTCATGCCGCATGTTCAATTCTGAATGTTGATGGCGCTAAGAAACTATATGCTATATCCGTCAATGAGAAGAGTTCAATGTCCAGCTCTCTCCAACTTGTGGAGAGGTGAGCCACCAAAGGTGCCTACAATTTGGAAGCTATGCAACGCCCTCTCGGTCGCTGTAAATGGTCGAAACGAACGAGCCCTTGTTCTTAATGTGTATAAATAATGGAACACGGACAGCTAAGCGACCTCTAAGCTTGGATAGGAAAGACTACTTGAGAGTTAGTCATACTCTGTTGGGGACTAGCTTCCCCAGGAACCCCAGATTGATGCAGGGATTCAAACATGGTTGGAACCTCGCTCAAACCCAATACTTGTGTTGCGTGCATTACCAAACTGGATCAAGGTATCTGCAATAAGAACAAAGCTAAGCCGGCTATCTCCAGTGACCACATGGATACATTATAGTAATATACTGTGTAGGTAAAACTCTTATATTGTTATCCTGCCCGTGTGCTACGTCTGGGGAATGATCACGGGCGACGTTGCTTCTCTGTGATAAATTGGTTGATGAACATTGATTAATTCCCAAACCCCGAGCAGCATCACCATGGAGAACTCTTACTGTACTCTCTATTACCTAAAGGTTTATTCTGATTTGACCGGCCATCAGGTCCTCCCGATGCTGCTTCCTTGGTGGCTACGGTGGTGTTTTTATCATTGCTAATGTATATACGGATCTTGGGGTTGAAGGCAAAATATGGTCATTTTCTTGAGATATGTACATGTGAGATATATTCATTCTTGCAGATTTTCTATTATTTTCCCATTATCAATGATACTTGGTTGGCATGTATTGGAAGATGCCCTTCATTTTAGAAAGGCTCACTTTGTATGTTTATGGCCGCGATAATGAGAAGTGACTATTCGCTGCTACCGATGGACGACTCAAATTAAAAGAGTGCACAGACATAGTAAAATGATACTGGTGATAAACTCTCGTATTCTCATTGACATGAGCAAGGGGTGTAGTCGCCTTCTTATGGGGAATTTGTTGTCTTCGCTTTTGGTTTGTGTAGTAAGGATTTGTACAACTCCTTTGGGTCTCGGTTGGAGCCAGACAGGATTAGGTCCTTCCACTCATTCCATTCGTCAGTCTGTGGTAGAATTCCCAAGGCACGAACCCAGTCCTTATTCTTATCCACCAATTCCTTATAGCGTGTGATGAGGGCAGCATAGACATGTGTACGTGTAGGCATGTCGTATTGGTCCAATTGCTCAAGTTGACTGAGGTAGCACCGACTGTTCAGGCGCTGCCCAGCAACGACGTTGACCTGAGCCAGAAAATTGATTATGATGAAGGCTACTTGATCCATGGTACTCCCGTTGGGCACTAGGCAAAAGATGGCGAGAAGCATGAAAACTGTTCCCGTGCGAGTCGCAGCCTGCCAGACCACAGCCGACACGCCCCAAGGCTTGGATTTGTAAGTGGGCCCCTGAGCGGTCCAGTCTCTGATGTCTCTTCGACTGCCTTCGAGTACGACGGCCGAGTTTGCCCGGCCTATGATGAAAGCAGCGTCGCGTGCGTTCGGCTCCGCCACGCTACTCATGTCGCTGGGAGAATGCTCAATATTGAGGTACTCCACCAGCCTGAGAATGATTGACCACCCTATGAAACTGGTGCAAGTGCTGATGCCAATCCAGGTTATCCCTTTCACCATATTGAGGAATACCAACACACCCGCCAAGAAAATCCATGTAAACATCGTCCAGATTACGAGGAGTACGTGGGCAGGACATATCCGTCTTGTGGCAGAGATCGAGTGGCTGTGATCCCAAGCTGGAATTTTCAAGACAGTATATGTTCCGTCTTTGAGAAGCTTGCCATAGCGGATAGCGTGGTGGAGTCTCATATTTCCCAATTGTGCCGCATTGACCCCGTATGGTAAGAAGTAGACCAGAGAAGCAGTTTCCGAGAGAAAATTGTAGTTGCGCAAGTAGCTTTGCAAGCCCACAACGGGAGTGGCTACCAAACACTGGACAAGGGATCTTTGACTCAGACGATAATTGATTTCCTCATCCTCACTTATCAAAATCATAAGTGAACTGACATCAAAGCTCCAGGGTCGATCTTGATCGTCTGCAGCCATCTGGAAAGCTTGAGAATAATACTTATATGTATTTTAATAGATATTAGATAAGGCCATGAAAAATGGCAAAATGGTGCGCATCACTCATCATTCAGGTAGCTCTAAAAGCAGTATTGCTCGACATGGTATATATAGAATAATGAAGTAGTGGTGAGGTGTGGCATCTTTCATGTGCGCAAAATCTCACGGCAAAGTACTAGCGAATTCAAAGCTAGTGGGAGGAGGATTGCCAGCATCACATGTCTGACGACGCAATTATTATCTCGAGCTGAGGATTCTAGACCAGCAGCTGATCTGGGCTGGTACAATCTACTATGTACGCCAGTGCGACATATAATTGATCGAGGCCTTTTCTAAAAACAGAAGAAGAAGAAATGCGATGAATGAGCTGCTGAGGTTAGTGCAGCAGCCAGTGATACAATAAAGTTCCAAGGTTGATGTCTGTTGTGGTGCTAAAGTAGCCTAAATGTGAGGCTGTTTTGTAGTAGTGGCAGCACTTTACCAGCTAGGTATTGAGCTGATAATTTTAGGGAGCATCACCTTCGATGAAAACAGCGGTCCAAGATAAAAACTGTTTGACCGAGACCTCCCATTTTAATACCTAGAATTACAAGCTTGCAATCAGCCATGGTAAGGACATCTCGCTCAACACTCATCATGTCCACGACTTGTTTTCCGCCGTTCTGGATATGGAGCGCTGAAACTGTGGTACGCTATGGCGAGTTCGTTCGAAATAGGATTTGTCCATAGCTTTCACATGGTTTCAGCCACAATCGAGGAGACTAAGCGGCGCCAACCTTCCCGCCGTTGCGGCTGAGAATTGCTGTCGGACATCTTAAGACCAAATCATCCCCAGACCAGTTTTCCCTCAGGGTTTCTTGCACGTGTTAGCCCACTGATAGGAAGCTGGAGAGTGCTTTGTTTGGTCAATGCCAGAAAAGCTTCAGGGTACTGAAAGCTACTGCTTATCAAGACGTGATCTACTATTTGTGCAACATATGAAGCTGAATTCTGCAGATTTTCCCGCAAGAGACTTATAGAGTGGTATATACACGCAGATCCGCAACAGCATATGAAAAAGGTAGTGTGGGTTGCAATTTCTTGCGCTAAATGATGCCATGTGTTTGAAGATAGCCTCAAGCTACCGTGCAGTTGCATTGCTGGATCAAGAGAAGAAATGATTCCAAGCAACGTCACCCACACTGTCCATAATCACACAAAACCAATAGATTCCTATTTATGCGGCGAAAACGTACGGGGCTCTCAAACTGGAGAAAGTCTTATTCCGAGTCAACCCATTCGCCGCCTAGGATGATATCTTCAACTCTCTTGGGTCGCATGGGAGTAACAAACTCGTGGGCCGCAACATATTCCTCAATAGCCTCCCAGTCGCGGCACGTGTGTACGTGCCCTCCCGAGATATGGAGGTCCGTTTCGTCGTCATTGGGACCTCCGTGGTTGAATGTTATGGTGCTCACATCGGCATGGCACATGAGGGATTGCCGGATGGCGTCAACGCAGTGATCTGGTTCATGTATCAGTACCTTAGAATACACGGGCTTTGATAACATTGAAAGATTTGATATTCATATCGCATAGTTGGGACGATAAGGCACAAGATTTTATCGGACTGGTCTTACCCATGTGCATATCAGCAACCTCCTGACTGACGTGATAACGCTCGGCAAAAGACTTGTAATGGTCCGGCCAGAGGTGCTTGCGCAGCTCGTCAAGACAGTGCAGCGAGTGGAAAACATCAAATATGACCCCATAGTACCCGTCCGGGTCTCCCGGAATGGGAACGGTGGTGTTTTCCAACTGGGCCGCGTCCTCGGGCGGGATCCGTGTCATGTGTGTGTACAAGGCCCACCAAGCCCGGTCGAGTTCCTTCGAGGGCGGACCTTGGTAGCGTGATGTCTCGGTGAAGCCATTGGTAAAGACTTGCTCCTTGTAGCGGATTGCGTCTTGTGCCGGGGCTGTATTTCAGAGACCTGACGTTAATGTATAATCAAGCAGGAGTGCAATGATTTGCTAGAATACTTACAATAGGTTAGCTGATCGCGATGGACTGGTGAAATCTGCGCTTCCCTGGAGGTGCATGCAGACACTGTTAGGTATAGGAAAAAGCAGCCAAGAGCCCAAAGAGCCGCAGTACCAATCTTCATTAGCACAGAGACGATTCGTGTGACTAGGCATGGTTTCTTGATTGGAAACAACACACCCTCTTCCGCGATGTCCGATGAAGTGCTGCCAAGAATGGGCACTTTCTCCCACGAGATAGGTACATTTTTCATGATGGCTGTGCTGAGACCAGAGTTTGAGTAGTTTCGGAGACACTTGTAACTTGAAGACGAATTGTAAAATGGCAATATATTGGTGTACTCTGTCGTTGGAATACCCTCTGGTTCTTGGGGGAGTCCACTTCCAGTTATATTACCCACATACCAATTGAAATATCACTCCATGACACAAGCAATATACCGACAAAATTTGTAAGCAATGTCCGGTTCATGGTCTAGACTCGCTGGCTTAGCAAAATCACCTGCAAAAAGTGCCAGGGTAACTTGAATGGACAAATGATTGCTCTTGTTTGAAAATGTCACATCGCATTAGCGATCTCACGTCTAATCAGGTGACCAGATTTGGAACTGATCAAACATTTCATTGGAGTTTGAATTCACGTGTTTGTACTTAATCTGGACAGTTTTGCGATTTGGATTATACGTTCCCCGCAAGGGGGCTTTTCAGCTGACTTGGCAAGGGATAATTAGATTCTGGTGTAGGATTAGGATTGAGCCCGATACGCATCGCGATTGGTCAAAGTCGTAGCGGTGAGCCGAGTATTTGGGTTCCTTTGCATAATCTAGATTGACGAAGGTGGCATGGAGCTAGGATCTGCATTGGTATGTCTGTTGCGGCTCGCTTAATACCGACTCGCTTCCACTATGGTAACATCGGCATGACAAGAAAAAGCAAAGATAATCTGAAGAAGAAAAGGCTTCGGCTACTCAACGCCGAGCATATGCTAGGCTCGCTACACTGCTACGTCCGGGTGATATTCACACAGCATATGTCATCGCGCAAAGTAAGGGAAGCATGCCTCTGTGCTTTCTTTCATTCCACCTTGAACGGGAATCGAACTAGCGCTGGAAAAGGCGAAGGATATTTCTATTCACTTCATGATTTCACGATTTTTTGTGATTATCTTCCTCTGGTTTCGCATGTAGAGCACTGACAATTGGATGTGGCCACCTTCGGATGTCTCTGGTGGATGGTATGCACGCGAGGGAGAGGCGTAACACCATATTTGGTAAGTGAACAGTATATGTGAGGGGAGAAAGTGTGTCGGGTTGCAGTGCTGAAAGGTTTGCTTGCATATAGCAACTCGACCCCATTTCTCAATGGCATATGAAATGTCATGGGCTTCTGCAAGACTAGCTCTACCTTTATCCTAAGACTTGGAATTCCATACCTCTGACTTTTCTGGCGCAAGGGTACCATTAGGTCGACAGCATCCTTTGGAAGCCGCGTAAAGCGGCTAAATGCGCCCTGGTCAAAATTTCGCAAACTAGCCACCGAGTCCATGTAGCTCATTTGAGTTCGATACTCCATGTAGCCCATCTCAGATGTGCAATCCAGCAGCACCATTATACAAGTCGCACTAGCGTACTCAGGCGGAATGATGGAATTTGGCAAGTTTTATTGCAATAACATAAGGCTCAAAAACATGAAAATCTTCGACGAAGTTCAAGTAAGTTCCGTCATGACATAGACAGGCACCAAGGTCGGCTCATGGGACACCGAGACTTGGATCCTCGTGTATGCCTCTGGCGCATGGGATATGTGAATACCTATCTGCGCGACAATGCCTAAACTCTTGCTGAGCTCACTCAAGAAACATTCGGTCCAGAGTGGTGAGATATATCGTAGTTGGATTGGAATAACAGTCCATTCAGAAAGGGACCGAAACCCCTGTACGGTGTCAGCCTGTCGCCGCAAAATAAGACAAACCTGGCCATGAAGGCTTGGACCGCTTCAATATTGACTCGCAAAATTGAGCATACCCACTATACAACGGAACTACTTTGTTTCCAGACATGGCGCCTGCTCCGTTCCGAAGCCGGTCCCCGTTCCGAAGGAAGACCACCGTCCCGCACTGAGATCAGCCCCAAAGCCGGTGACCTAGTATCACTTGTTGGAATGCCTCGGAATTGAACAGACTCCTGACTGAGATGGAAGGAATTAAAGGCGCCTGCGGGTGGCTTGAGGCTCTAGAATCATATATCGGTAGTTGAACGCGGCAAGATGAGAGACTGTTCATTGCCTGATCAATGATCCGGCGAACTTGATTTACAGATTACGGCCGATCTAGTGTAAAGCTGCAGGCAAGCACAAGCCTTGGCTCGTGGGGATCGAATTACTACATGGTGAGGATCGTCTTGCACTTATGGCATAGCTTCCTGGGCTTGCTGTCCTTCGGCGCTGCACTTGATTTCAAAGCATTTGTAATGCCAACAATCCGATTCGGTATTGCAAAAGCTAGTGTTGGACTAAATATCAACTTGATCTTGAGACGATCCCTGCCTTTCCCTGCGTTGGCTTTAGTATTCTTGGGGTTCCAAGGCCCCGCGATTGCTCACTTTTGTCGGCTCCGGAACCCTGGCCAAGGGTTGCAGGCCCCCCTCGATATCCTGAGACTCCACCCAATTGCCGTGGATCTGTCCTCGGAGGTAGAGCGGCATCCGGATGATGGCCTTGGGTTTTGTAAACTCGCGGCTATCGAGCACGACTAGATCGCTCTTCCTCTGCTCCAGCCTCTGAACCATACACAGCACCCAGCCATCACCTTCGGGGCTATCCTTGGACCGAGGAATGAAGACGGGCTCTTCTACTATGCACTTGGTGCCAGGTCTGAAAAACTCGGTAGTTCCAGTTCTCTTGTCCACTTTAGCCAGACCGGTAAGTGAAATCGACATAGGCATGCCGTTTTCCGGAAGATCGGGTACTGCTACGGGGAGGAAAATGGTATTATACTTCCGACCCATGTAGCGCTCATCAATGCGCGGAAATTCGGAAGGAAGCGGGAGCACAACTACCGGATCCGGGATCGTGCTATTAGTCGGCTTGGATGTATCGAGCTCCCAACGGACAAAGTCACATTGCGGATCCATCCTGAATGGCGGCGAATTCTCGCTTCCCCAAGCAGGAAACAGGTTGGTATCCAGGACTCGAGATGTCTCGATGTACAGCTTGCCGGAATCATCTTCCCATGCGGCTGCCGAGTGTAGGAGAAAGGCATTCCGCGACCATTGGTACGAACGCGTCTCGCCACTCTCCCAACCAGCGGGGACTGTATCTGCGCGTCTGGGGATGACTTGGAACGTCACATTCTTGTCATCTGCCCATTTCCAGTGCTGGCCACGCTGCTTCATGTGTTCCACGTCCGATTTGAATGGCCACATGAATAGAATGATGCAATTGGTGGTAATGGCGCAATCGTGAATCATGGCAGGCCAAGGAGTACGGTTCCACTGTATATCCTTGATCTTTCCGTCCTTTGTGAGGTGGTATGTGACCACGTCGTCAGAGCCTAGCTCCTTTGCCTCGTAACCAAACACAACCAGCTCGTCAGAGAACGGGTCGATCTTTGGATGTGCCGAGAATGTCTTGCCCGGTGACTGGAACGGATCATACGTGCGAGTGGCCAAAGTATTGGGATCAACGGCGTAGGGCAGCCCACCCTCTTTCAAGGCTAGAACGTGCCCTCCCCAATACACGAGATTGGTGTTCGCAGTCGAGTCCACAGCTGCGCGGACACAGGGGTGGTGGGTGAATGGGTTGCGATACAAGCCAAAGAGTCTCTTGTTTGCAGCTCGCTCAAGTCGGAGCCGTTCCGTATCAACATATCTTATTTTGAGATCAACCTTTCCATCATGAATGCGAAATGCTGAGATATTCCCATCACCCTCGACCGGCGGATTCCCGGGCATCAGCGGGTAAAAGGGATCGACCATCATGCGATAGAAAGTCCCATCCACCTCCTTTGGGATTTCACCTAGGACGATCAAGTCGGCCATCTCGCCTTCCACCCGGCCTGGGGCCCCAAGGTCGGCTGGGCCTATGGCTGGCGGCCAGGCTGATTCGAGTCCAAAATGATCAGGGTTGGGGGTTGGGATTGGGAATGGCATTGGTGGTACACGGGTCTCAGGCATGATGAAGAGAGGTGCAAAAGATTTTTGAGCTGTGCAAATAATGGAATGGGCAAGGCAAACTAGTTGAATGATTGGTAGTATAAACTGATTTCACGTACTCCTGAGGGCACTAATTCTAATGTCTAGGAAAGGAAAGAAATGCTCTTAATATACCTTCAATGTCCATGGAGACGTGAATTGCCGAGATACTTACCGTCAAGATCACGTTTCGCGTACTAGCCAGAACTCCGGATGGACAGGTCAGTGTCCAGAGCCCGAGCCCGAGTCCGCTGAGTCAGAAAAAAAAGACCATTGGTGCACCGTGAGTATAAACGTTCGCTTATATTTTCACCAATATCACCACAATCCAACAGAGGTCAAAACATAGACTTTATATCCCATCTCATTCGGTCATATATTTTGACTTCAAAGTGATACGCCTTGAGGTTCCAACCGAAATCGACCATATCTAAAAACATCAGCTCACAGACCACCCCAAGAACCATGGGCCAGAGAAAATCGTGATTGTCGCGCCCGGAATAAGCTTTTCTTGGGACATTCCAATACCGAAACTATGACCGTACTCGCGAATAGGTGCACCCTGACTATGTATATTTGATACAACCTGAGTCTTGTACGGAGCACCAGAAGGCAAATTCTTGAAGACCCCCGATTTTAGGCTCATACGCTTACCCTTTCATGGCTATATTAGGAAAATTATAATAAATTATAATTATTAAATTCTTTATTTGCTTTCTTTTCTTTTTTTAAACTTTTTTTGTTAAATGGAACCTCCCCACCCCCACCCCCACCCCCACCAAAAAAACACTCCCGGGGGGGGGGGAAGGGGAAGGGTGCAAAGAGGGGTGGATTTTTGCTATTGTAAACAGGATGGTTTCATCTAAATCTTGGTTTTTGCAACAGTTTGCCCTCTGGGCATCCGTAGTCTTGGTACCGGAGTCGACTCCATCATTGAGTTTGCTGAGAGGCAATACAGCAATGGTGGAACCATGCCAGAGCTCACTTATAAGCGCATTTTCGTGGATGGTGATTACGTTACCGTCCACTTAAAAGTTGAGGCAAGCCCTTTGTTAGGGCTCTGCGGACTCAAAGCTTTGGAGTACCTAAATACGATATGAGAATGGCAAGTTCACCGAGTATTAAGATGTTTTGGATGCTATTCGCTCCCCCGAGGAACAAAAGAATGGGAAAGAGGTCTTTTAGGGAAGCTGTTATTTTCTGGAATGTGATTCTACTGAGACTCGTCGGATAGACCAGAGTAACGGTCTCGGCGATCGGCCTGGGCATCCATCTTTCTTTGTGGTGTGGTTAATAAGTGTCCAGCTGAATTAGTACATTCGCTTTGTTATTCTCGTCGCTCACTACATGACGCTCAGTATCATAGCTATAAGTGATATGTTGTACCCCGGTGCAGCATATATACCGTGTAATTACTATTGCAAACGTATTTATAGTGGGGCGCGTCAAAGTCTCACTTGCGTGGATGCGCCCTTCTCGACGCATCTCCCGTGGCCCCAAGATCATGGCCACCAAAAACGTTATTGTTTTCTCTATCTAGAAGATATGTTTGATCATACCTCCTCCTGGTAACCAGAACGAAGCGCATGTTCTCTTGTCGTACTGACGTAGTCAGTACCCACTGCAGATCATATGCGTGGGTATATCGTCGCTCTTCAGCACCTCTCTTTTGTAAACTAGAGATCAACTCAGACAACTTTCAATGCTTCCTCCATCACCTCGTCTTCAGTTCCCACTTCACACATCGGCTCAGGTGAGATCTCCTTATTGACCGCGATGTCAGAGGATGCTTATGGTGAGCGCTGCTGTAGAGCTGGGTATGGCCGATATAGTCGGAGTAGTGGGGACTGCCATTACGGGCAGTGGTTCAACCCAACCGTCGAAACTAGGAGTAAGATCGGCAAGACAAATACTAATTCCCAGCAATGGAACGGGATCTAATCTTTCCCTGTCGAAGCAAAATCTTGTCCACCCATTGCAGTCGCACGTTAGCTCCAAGGTATCTTGATCGATGGAGCACTTGCAGCGCTTTGCAGGATCATCCTCGGGGCTGCCAGGCCTCACGAATGGTACTGTCTCGCGATCCCACTGCGCATAGAAGCCATCTTCTGGTAGGCCTGGAGCTATTAGGACGAGATTGCCTTGTTCGTTAAGGGTGAATATTGTATGATGTGGTGAGATTCGCACAAGCCATGTGCTACCATAATTACCAAATCCTATATAGTCCACATACAGCTGAAAGTTCCATTCAATAGCTTGCACGAAAAATGTAGCTTGTGCGAATGGGACACTTGTTTCGTTTGTTGGACTATTTGTCACTGGTATTGCGTTCTCCGTCGTGGTGGGGGAGGCTGTGAAGGTTGTCGAGCTCGCTGAAGACGTCTCCAGATCAGAGGTTGGGGAAGTCGTCAGAGCTGAAGGCGCACTCATCGGTGCGGCTGGAGATCTGCTGCTGTATGCAGGTAGTAAAGGATAGGAGCCGTAATTCTGATGGCCATCCACCCAATGCCGCTGGGCAAATGTATGTTTTGCAGTGAACAAGAGAAGTATTCCGAGTACGCGAGTAGGCATTATGAATGGAACAGTATTGACCTTTGGGATACAAACGAAGTGATAATTCTTAATGTAGCATTACGAGTTTATCTTGAGGAATTGATACAGCTTTATATATCTTTTTTTATTTTATATATATATATATATTTGCCTCCGTGGAAATATTAGTTCTCAGCGGGATAATAAGGTTGAAGTGAAACTAGCATCATTGACCGCTGCCGTCTCTAATATTCGATGACGGACTGAACCGCTGAAATAAGCTTCAGGATAATCTTATGTTCCTCCTGATTACGTATCATTCCAGAGAGAAGGAGACTAGAAGTTATTACCGGTAGTAAATCAACAGTTTTCGGCTTTCACATGCACATGAATTCAAAACTTCCTCCTCATTAATATTTCTGCAGTCTTTGTAGAAATATGTTAATTTTATTTCTACTCTGGCCAAAGCCGATGGTCCTCGAGCCGACCTGTTAATGTGGATCCTATGATTTACCTTTAGTGACCTAAATGCAATCTTTACAAGGCGCACATAACGAGCATTTGTCATTTTTACCCCTCATATAAGATACCACCAAAAACAGGAATGAATGACTTTATTCAATAATAGGTTCTTCATATGTTCTTGCATTTCCCTTTGCGTCAATAATTGAGAGCCGACTCACTTGAGCTAGACCAGTACCATGTGTTCCAGGCTTAGGCCGCCCTGTATTATATTGCTTTCTCCGGGTAAGCACATCTTACGGGTACACGCCACGACCTTAGCAATCCCCTCTACTTCGACAATAGAAATGTGTTCTATTTTCCGTGAATTTACCCTTTGATGAACATGATCAAGCAACTTGGATTTCTCTCCTGCCACCAATTTTTGTTCTGCAGGGCGGACAACAAACCAAGGGCGAGTGGGATATAGGTTATCATTTCCATTGCGCAAAACTTCCAGGTCGACAACTTTGTCACCATATACAGTGTCAGCCGGCACTATTGCTATAAGCCCATTACATACCGCCAAGCGACTTCGTGGTATTGAATGGTCCTGATTGCGAGAGAATGATAAGTTTTGCTCAACCAGCCTGATCATATGTCCAATGTCCATGAGCCCGAATTTCTCAGTGCCAGGCCTGATCTTGACTAGCCGGTAGTTCTCGTTATAGTCGGGAGCAATATCCACGGCATCACGCCCAAGAAGGGCGCCGCAGAACCCAGCCCACAAATCCTCTAGCATCAAATCCTCTTTGCTTTCGGCCCAGTAGTCCCAAAGGTCTTGTAAGGGGCTCCCTGCACTAGGTTGAGTATGATTGACCAATCGCTCTAGACTCTCACGAAGAGCGTCCACAAATTCATTGCACCGGGGTATGACGTCTCCCAGCGCCACTATATGGTTGACATGCTGCTGGCGAACAGGCACAATCTGGCAATCTCTCGTGACGTTTCGTTCACCCCATAAGGGCCCAGCAGGGAGTGGGTCCTTCTGAGCTGACATTGTGCGCAGTTCCGATATCCCCCAAGTTGGCACAAACGACGGTAGACCGCAATCGCCAGTGTCTGAATTGACATGTTTGACGACAGAAGAAAGATCCATGGTTCCAACCAGGTATTTAGCTGCCCGAACGAATACGTCTCTTGTATCTAGGCTGTAGTCAATAGGGAGACGTTCCTGGACTGCCTTTGCATCAGACGCGATACCCATCAGACAGAAAAAAAAGTCACGAGGGTCGCTTAGCTGAGCACCCTTGCGTGAGATGACAAGTTGTGAGAAAGTTCGGCCTTCGTGGTCGTTGCATGCCTTGTCCATGTCAAGGAAGCGGGAGACTGAGGTCCGACTGCATTGGAGATGTTGAATCATAGTATGTAGATCATTCCACCCGACGCGGTGTTGGCCACATTGAATGCGTGCATTATTCGAGAGTACCAGCTCTTGGAAAACCCAGCCCCTTACGAACCAATCACGAGAACAAAGTGTCTCAAAGGCGTCGTTCAAAACGTCAACGTCCAGGTTCAGATCCGCTTCCTGGGCCGTGTTTTTTTGTGACAGTGCACGACGTTTCGGCGAGGTTCCAAGTTTTCTATGAATGGCGTTGAAAGCGTAGTTGATATCTGGACTAGGAGGTCCAAGGTAAATGACTGTGCACGCTGCCTCGCGATAGATATTCCCCATTATTCCAACCTGGTGACCGCGCTCATCCAAGTTATTCTGATCAATGCATATGGCATCTGCCCAAATGAATATTGCTCGACTTTTATCGCGAACATTGGTCAGTGCACTGTGTAGATTGGTGTTCAAATTGAGCTGGAACCTGCACAGCTTGCTTTCGTCCACCAATTCTAGAGCCTCGGTCCGAGTCTGATGACCCCACACATAGGACAGGGCTGTATAGTAAGTGTGAAGATCATCTTGAATCGATGACAAGGTTCGTGTGACCAGACTCCCACGAAGAAGTTCGTTATTGTCGTTTGAAGGCTCTAGCAGCAAAAGTCTGATTGAGTCTGAAAACTCCAACGGCGAATATGTGTATGCCACTGGTGATTCCATTTCGCTTGTCACTCGGAATACTGGGGTCAGGTCTGATGCCAGTCGAATCGATCTGGTGGGGAATGGATTCTTCAAATGCGCAATTTCTCAAATACACAACAGTCTTGTTCTTGTTTTCGAAGATGCTGACGTGGCGGGGGCTTACCGTCGCCAAATCAATGGACTGCATCGTGGTAGGTACGGCGTCACCTGATTCACGTTTAATTGGTTATAAACCTGCTTCATGCATATGAATACTGGAATGCATTCGGGATGCATTCGGAGGCTGTGAGGGTGCTGCTCCATCACAGCCTTGCATGATATCATGTGCGACCAACAATCAACAAGGTGTACAAATTAGAGCCTCGCAGCACCATAGGGGCATTTTCCTTTACCAAGCATCAATCCACCCACTCCTCTTGTTTCTTGGGACCTATTCGCTTTCCAATTCCTCAATATTTCCCTGCACCATGGCATCAGCCACACTATAAAACCTGTAATCATGCAGCGCTGTTACATGGCATATTGAGTGACTTCAAATGACTGTGCGGATACGATCAGCCTTGCGATGACAACAGTTGACAAATCATCTGGAGTCCCTTTGTCGTAAGTCGCTCCAATAGAGCGAAAAATTCAACCATGCCATCCGACAATGGCTTGCAAGAATAAGACTGATTGTGAAGGCTCGAAGCTCTCAAAGATCCGCAAAAGGGGGAATGTCAAGATCCTGCAGGGGTAGGGGTATGCTTTGGTGGCTCTGACAGTTGCCTATTTGAGAAACCAGCCTGCGTGATATTACGGCTATGCTTAGCCGTCTCTGCGAAGGAATTGTAGTATGGTAACTACAGCGCTACCCAATTGCTTGAGATTGGTCAGGGTTTTGCTTTCTATACTGAATACACCTGTGTTTGCCATTCTATCACTCTTACTCACTATCACGTTCTTACAGGGAATTGCATTCGGTAATCGATACTCATGCCTGGACATTGGGGTAAATGTGAGAAGCATAGCCTTCATCTTCTCTCTTTTCGATTATGCAAGGCTGGGAGTCATTCTAGGACTGTTCAAAGAGGACTTGTATCAATTTGGAAAAGATCATAGGGAACTACAAGGACGTGGGAACAAGGTTCGCCGAACACCACAGAGAACCAATTATTGATGTACTAAAACTACACCAAGTATAAACGATACATCTGTGAAAAATCGGCCGACCCTTTGAAAACTAAAGAAAATGGACAAGCCGTCTCCCAGAGCTTGCGCGGCCCGAAATAAACGATCTCTCGGCGAATGGTGCGTGATCCACCCCTTTCGCTTGTTACAGAGTAGCTACCCTCCTTGAGATCAATTTATTAAGCCCGCCCGCTCGTTCCCGCACGACGCCAAGCTAGTTTCATCGCAAATGTATGCCCCATCGCGAGAAGCGCCGTCTCTCGGTACGCTACGCCGGCCGAGGGCCGCACTAACAAGCAACGAATCGGCACACTTGGCTTAACAAGGCTTACGGAGCATAAACTAGCAGCTGGTTCTGGCTTTCAGTTCACCCAACTGATCTAGCATATTAAATCGCCACCCTTTGTGTATGCACTCGAATAGTACAACGGTTGTCATCAGTAGACCAGTTTTCCGAGACACCGGTAGGAGCACCAAGAGTGACCACTTGGAATTTCGGTACACAGCCTCTCTCTCACAGTTGAGTCATTTCATACATAGCCAGTATAACGTAGGATTGTTAGTATGATGCAAGCATTCGGACAACATGTCGAGCATACGTATGTTCTCGCGCCATGGCTGAACGGATAGGGGTATCCCACCAAGACGCCGTTGCAGTAAGGGCAGAAAAGAAAGCGGCGTGTATTAGAAGAATTCCAAGCACCTAGGTATCCGGTCATGTTTATGTACGTGGCCAATCCAGGATACAATCCACAAAGTGATTCAGTAAGGGAAAAAAAACAGCCTAGGCTGTTTGTTATAAAATGAGGCCCAGGAAACGTCATGTCCACAACAGCTCTTGATTAATAGACCATCTATTCATGGATAATGATTCATCCTTTCGTGTCTGGCTCTAATTCAAAAATCTGATCCAAGCCCATCTTGATGTTTATGTCCTGCCAAGAGAATCAATCTAACGACGTATCGCCAAGAAAAGAGGGCTAGTTTCTAGTGCTATAGGCATTCCTTGCTTCCATTCTCCTAGTACTACGGGCACTGGCGCAATCCGTAGGTAGTAGTAGCTTTGGGGATGGACGACCCCAAACGATACAAGCCCCAGTTATCAGTTTTGCTAAGGACAATGTTAACGCTAACACAGGAACTGGAGCCGGTCTATTTCTTGGCAAGCCACCTCCAGATAACGCTTTCAAACCTGTTCTCGCCTGTCGATCAATTTTTCATCCGGAATTTCAAGAGCAAGTCGGGCCGTAATGCATAGAACACGTATCGAATCTTCAATAGAGCGATGGCCTCGTCCTCTAGAAGACATATATCTGATTACATCCCTCGGCAAAATGCAAATAATCGATGGAGGTTCTTTCACAGCTGAACTATCAAATGTCCACCACGAGATACATACAATAGCTATCATGCATGAAAGGGATCCTTGGAGAAAAAGTCGATGTCGATACCAGGAATCTGGTAGCGAGAATATCTGGGTCCGGTAGATCTCCGAAATTAGAGCCCAAACCCCACCAGGACAAAGATCCGGAGGTCCACCCAGCCGAATAAATCTAGGGGATCCCTTAACACCGGGACGAGGAAATGTTCTGTAGATCTGTGGATCTGTGGATCTGGGATCTTGCGAAGTAAACGAGACACTTGTGCCCAATCACGACCATGTCCCTATACCGTGACTAAAGCACATGCAGCTATCAGAGTGACCACGACGATCAAAAATCCCAATTGTCCACTGATCTAGAGATATCCATATAATCATGAAGAAATTACTCCTCAGCCCTCCTTCAGGAAGGATTGGAGCTAGTGCCCAAGTCGTGGATAGGGCCAGGAGCGCGCTTGTTATTGCTCTGTTCTAAATGCTCTAAATAGCAAGCCACAAACCTAAATTTTCGAAACCGCTGACGAAAAGCTCAGGCAATTATCTATCGTTTGAAAAACGTTTCGTTACTAAATGCCGCCGGCATGTCCACAAAAGAAATGAAAACAACAGCTCACATCGCCAAAGGGTCTATTATACTGCTCACTCCGTAATCTGATATATTCTCCAAGGCTCAGCTAAGCGACTAGACGCAGTCTAGACTGACAATTACTTGTAGTCGACATTTCGTCGGAGCCAGTATGAGGAAGCATATTCCAAGGCTTCAGGAAAATCCCACGGCAATCAAGTCAGCTTGTCCTGAGAGACCCGGCATCGGAAACAAAGTACATTGGGAGTCCAACAATTTGAAACTGGGTACCGGGTATACCTTGATTGCCCCAAATACCAGCCAGGCTGATCAGCAAAGAACATACACATTCAGTCGAACAATGTCGTTAAAGGCTATCCTCTAGACGGAGCAGCCACACAACACACAACCCGTCTAAATGCAATCTTCTTTCCTCGTATAGGACAATGACATGAGCACTATGGATCGGTCTGGCTCCATTCCGACAAGTCGACCTTGCCGCGTTACTGAATCCCTTCATGATCGGCAGGCACTAGGTTGGACAAACACTGTAAAAGGGGCTACGCCAAAGATCACAGCCTATCGGCAAGAGTTTTGGGGGGAACTGCCGAGCATCTGAATCGACAAACATTCATATTGAAGCCTTGATGACCGGTTTGTGGGAGCCCGAAGGGCATTCAGAATTTGCATGTCTTTAGGCCCCTTCTTCCCTAGGTTAGTTGTGGGTTGGCCCCAAACTCTAAATGCGTGTCCAGTACCGCCACACATGAGGATGACTCGCTAGTCTGGCGGGATCTCTTTGCATGAACTATCCAGTCCGAGCACTATCCAGTATCCAGTAGATCCCAGCGAGGGAGCCCCTTGCCAAGACGGGGGTCACGTTCCACTGACGCTAAGACGGATGAGAGTATATACATGTTTGAGAATATTCGTCGTCTCTCGGTTGACGGTCGTGCTTCAATGTAAGACATTATCACATTCATTTCTTATCATTTTCTTTCTTTCATTCCATTTCCGACAATCTTTGCAAGCATGAGCTTGCTTTCCCCCAACTTTGTGCTCCAGGATGTCACCACCGACGACATCGCCATTGCCTCGCTAGCCTTTGGCTTCACCATTGGATTCGGATGGCTCACATGTTGGACAGCCGCGAAGCAGACATGGCGAGCATACAAAAGGAGCGGCGTCGATGTCTGGCGGAACGGATACATCTGGATGATTTGGCTCGAGATTTCGGTTTGTTTGTCGTTTGCCATAATCTGTTGGCTGCACCTCAAGGGTCTTGTACCGCCTAGGTAAGGCAACACTTCTTATTATGATGGTTGCCAAACTTGCTAACTCGATTCATTCTTGCAGTTTCGCCTTCTACTTTTGTATCCGTAAGCGAAATTCGACACCTCCTCAAGGCTTGAGATCAATGCTAACGCATCAAAGTCACACTCTGGGCTCTTCAAGTACAGTTTCTACTACAGATTATCATCAATCGTTGCGCCATCCTCGTCCGAAACCCCAAGCTTGTATGGCGACTAAAGGTTGGCGTCGCTGTGATTATTACAGCGATCAATATCTCCGTTTACAACATCTGGATTCCGGCACGTCTACAAATATCAGAGAGTTACATTCACATCAATGAAATATGGGATCGTTGCGAGAAAGGCATCTATCTAATCATTGATGCCGCTCTCAATATCTACTTTATCAGCATCGTTTCGAGGAACCTCGTACATAATGGGCTCGCAAAGTACAAGGCTCTGTCCCACTTTAACATGTTCATCATTGGTTTCTCACTAGCCATGGATGTACTCATTATTGCCATGATGAGTCTGAAAAACACCTTTGTGTAAGTCAACTATCTATTTACCGATCCATGAGAAAGTTTTTTCCTTGCCATCCAGCAGATACCGTGTACACATATTACAAGCATGTATCAAGCCAGAATAACAAGTTGACAATCCATTACAGATACATGCAGTTCCACCCCTTGGCATACATAGTCAAGCTCAACATTGAAATGTCCATGGCCGAGCTTATCGTCAAGGTAGCCAAGGCCCGCAACCAAGCCAACGTCGACCACGACTCTCCCGTTCTCGAGAACGACATTGGCCACAGCTCGTCACACGGCACCAAGTCCAGAACGAGGGTCGGAGCCACCGCCCTCAGCAAGCGCGATCGATGGTCGGGTGACAGATTCGACATGAACCAGTCGAGGGCCAATGCGGGGATAGAGCTGGGCGACATGATCATCAAGGAAGAAGAGCGGCAAGGCTCCAATGATGATGGAGACGGCGGCGACAGGAACATCTACACCACGCGAGAAGTTCACGTAGAGTTTGAAAAGGCGTCTCACAAGTCTGGCAATAGCGAGTCGCCTAGCAGCTTCTACGAAGGACCGCCTGGGTCCAAGGCCGGTGAAGAAGACACGAGGCCGCTCAAGTCAAACCAGAAGGGAGCTGTACATGTAAAAACCCATAGAGGAAACGAGATCGACATGTGAAGCAATCACGACATGACGGTTTTATCACTTTTCAGTACATATATACATTGATATAGAACTTTTAATCACTCATGACGTTAAACACCAGGATTCTCAAATTCACATCCCTGAATCTAACAGTAACGGTGTAGCTTTCTTACTGCAAATAGCAGATCGTAGCAGCTTTCTTTTCTTTTTTTCTTTTTCCTTTTTTTTTAAAAAAAAAAACCAGGCTATTTTATAGGATCTAGACTTCGAGTTGGCCGCGATTCATAAAGTTTGGCTTTATAATTGGTTCTGCCAATCGTACCCATTCAGCAAGGCGTGGAGGTTCTGGAACGGCAATTCCTTGCCTTTAAATAAAAGAATTAAAGCACCGTCTATATATGGCCCGTGCAACAACCCCAAGCTTACATACACTCCGTTCAAAGAGATCTATGGTTAGAGTTTTGCCTATAATTGTAAAAGTTGTTTATTACTCTTGCTGTGACGCCTACCGGTTTTCGCCTATAATCATTGTTTCGTCCAATTAACTCGTATAAATCAGAATTGTAGACTAAAAATAGGCGAAATCATTAGGACGAATGAAAAGGCTCTATTCCATGCTGTCATTGTCGTAAGTTTACCATCTTGTCTTACACAAAGCTGAATGTTCTACAGTCAGATCATTCTATCGCCGCATCCGAATTGCTCAAGCGGGCCTGCCGAAAGTGATACCACTGACCGAGCCATTAATGATTCCTCCTTGGAAGCCCGAGTTATTGTTTCCGAATGTCACCGTTGTCGCGCGAAATTTCTCCCGTCCAGCAGCCTTGACTAGTTCTTCTCGCTCAGATTTGATGGAAAGTTCTTTCAGTAAGGCAGCCGACACACGTAAAGCTTCGCGGTCGTCTCGGGCTCTCTGCTCTGCTCTAGTTGTGCTTTCTGTGCTCTGTATTTGCGGGAGTGTCTGGTCATGGTCGAGGTTGGGCTGTGTGTGATCATCCATAGCAGCTAGCTGTCTTTCTGCCGCGCCAGCAGCCTGCACGATTTCTTGTTGTTTCGACTGCAACGTCCCCTGAATAGATTCAATCGCGTGGCCTTGGCGAATGGAGCCATATCTGCAAGCGTAATGGTCAACAGTGTCTAGAAGAGAAGATACAATCAACACGGAGAAACTTACAGGACGGCTATACCGACCGTGCTATTAATTGTTGTTTTGCAATTTTGTAGTTGCTGAGACATGGACTTTATTTGTCCCTCTTTGAAGAATCCTATAGTTGTACGATCTCGCCAAGAGAGCTTTTCAGCATCTGAATGTCGCGTCCAGCGTTGCAAGTCTGCGCGAAATGACTCGCAGGTCTTTTGGCAGATGCGTATAGTAGTACGGATGTTTGCAGCAATGTTCTCGCCAAGATTCGCCAGATCTTCATCATTCACGTGTTGCAAAGAGGTGATGGCGCTTTCGACTGCGCCTAAATCGTCGCGGAGTTGTTGGGCCGCGTTTGGAGCATCACTGAGCTTTTGTACGTCGTCTAAAAGCAGTCGTACCGCGTGAAGAGCAGGTACAGTAATGCCGACTATACTTGCAGTAATACTCAGGGGATCTGCCATTGTGTCTATAATAAGTTCAAACGTTATCCTAGAGTGTGAAGAGGAGGGGTTGCGATTGTGGCTAGTCCTGTAAATAGTACGAAGTATACAGCCGCCCGATGTAGCGGAGCCTTACGTGCGGGGTCGTGATGGCAAGCTGACATTCAGGCAGCAGACGCAATTTTTCCCTTCCTCCTTTGCACTGCAAATCTACTTGTTCTGATACAGTCCTGCCTGCGATATAAGTGCATCATTATGGCGGCTTCCGCCTCTTTCGGCGACGCGAATGCTGGATTTCAGGCTGGGTATATCAACGGCTCAGTCAACAACCCCACGTTTCATCACCATGCTGCTCCAGGTAGGCTTCCACTAATATCCATCCCAACGGGCGCTAACGACACGGGATCAACCTAGAGCCATCCGAGACTCCATCGATTCCTACCATCATCATTCCGTTCCCTCGAGACCGAGACTTTGTCCGACGAGATACTATCTGCGACCAAGTAATCCGTGCAAGCGCCGATCCGGGCTCGTGGGTGGCGCTCGTGGGGTTGGGCGGCGTCGGGTAGGCTTTTCGAACATGATTATCATAATACCACGCAGTCTGGGCTTGTCGCTAATCGTTCGACAGCAAATCGCAGATTGCAATAGAACATGCATATCAACTCCGAGACAAGTCACCTGCGACATGGGTATTCTGGGTGCATGCTAGCAACAAAGCACGCTACGAACAGAGCTTCCGAGAACTGGCAGAACAAGTCAAGTTGCCGGGACGGCAGAACGCCCAAGAAAACATTTTCCAGCTTGTCAGTAGCTGGCTGCGCAGCGATAAGAGTGGCAAGTGGTTGATCATTCTCGATAACCTTGATGACGTAAGCTTCCTGCTGGAAGTCCAGACTGGGCGACAGGATGCCCAAGGCAGTACGAGCTCTGGCCCCGAAGACAACAGGCCACTCTTGTCGTATCTTCCTCGCTGCCAGAGAGGGTCGGTTCTTGTTACGACCCGCAGACAAGACATTGCGCTGAGGCTCGTCGAGCCGCATTCTATTGTTGCTGTCGGATCGATGAATCAGGATGATGCAGTGACGCTGATAGAGAAGAAGCTGGGAGCGCTAGAAGATGACGAGGATGTCGAGACCGCCGGCGCGCTTGCTCAGGCACTCGAATATATACCCCTCGCCATTGTGCAGGCGACATCCTACATTGCTCATCAAGGGTTGCGCTACTCGATGCAAAAATACCTCAAAAAGCTGAAACGGAGCGACGGCCAGAAGACAAGCCTTCTTGATGTCGAAGGCGGGCATCTGCGGCGGGACTGGGAGGCAAAGAATTCAATTATTCTCACGTGGCAGATTTCTTTTGACTATATCCGCAAATCTAGGCCGTCAGCGGCTGATCTGCTCTCGTTCATGAGCTGGTGCGATCGGCAGGGCATTCCTGAGGATCTGTTGCAAGAGATGATTCGCACCAGAAATGCTTCACAGGACGATGACAAACACCCAGGCGGCGATCTGTACAACCATGACGACTCTGAGAGACATGGGAACGATGAACCCGCGAATAACGACACTGACGATGACTCTCAATCGGACTCCAGCGTGAGCGACGGTTTGGAGGAAGATATTCTGATGCTGCGGGACTATTCGTTCATTCAGCTTGTTGGAGATGGAACGTCGTTTGAAATGCACGCTCTAGTGCAGCTCTCGATGCGCAAGTGGCTCGAAGCCAAGGGCCAACAAGAGAGATGGAAGCAGACATTCATCAAATGCCTTTCCTCGCAGATTCCGACGGGGGATTACGAGAACTGGAAAAAATGTCAGATCTATCTACCGCATGCTAAGGCAGCAGCAGGGCAACGGCCGAAGGACAAAGAATCACTTCTAGATTGGGCTACAATAATGTACAGAGCAGGCTGGTACCTGATGGAGATGGGCTTGGGCCAGGAGGCGCAGAGGATGGCAGAGGATTCGATGAAAGTACGAACCCATTTACTTGAATGGGAAGATGAAAAAAGATCATGGGCGATGAGTTTGGTTAGTGATGTATATAGCTTTCTTGGTCGATGGGAAGAGGCGGAGAAGTTGAAGGTGGAAGTATTGGAAATTCGTAAAACGACACTAGGACCGGATCATCCAGACACACTTACCAGCATGGCCAACCTAGCGGCGACATTTTGGGAACAAGGCCGATACAAAGAGGCGGAGAAGTTGGAGGTGGAAGTAGTGGAG